AAGTCTTTTTTTCCACAGAATTGCTTCTCACATGTCCACACAGACAAGTGCTGGGGTTCTGCGAAGAAGCCTCTGTGGAGCTCAGGGGAGGGCAGAGACACAGAGCAGGAAGCCATGGTTCTATATTTCTTGTTTCCCCTAAAGAACAATGTTTGAAGGCAATAGGAAACTCCCAGTTTGGCAAACCAACACCAGCCCAGGAAAACAGAGCTCAATTTATTTTGACATCACATGGTGCCCACACTGTACCTTCAGAGCTAATTAAGGTGTGCACTGGTGCTTTGCTTTCCAGCAGGGATTTCTTCCCTGTATGAGAAGCAGCTTTGGTACTGGTGCTGTATAATACAAGTTTGAGGTCAGGAAACATAATGTAGAGACTGAAAGAACAAGGCTAACATGTAAGCACGGGACCTTCAAAGTCTGTTAATCTTGCTTCTTTTTTTAAAGCTTTTGGTCCAAAAGTCCTTGGAAGAGTTCAGGTACAAGGTCAGGTGGGAAGGACATTTGACACCTATTCTTCTTTTTGTTCCTGACTCTCTCCTTGCTCTACTTCAAGGTGCTCATGCAAAGATCGTCTTTCCAGCATGGTACCACTTCTTCATCTTTAATTAAATTTTTCGTGGAACTCCTTTCAATACTTTTTGTATAATCTTGTCGATGTGAAAACCAGAGGCACAACTTTCCCTACAGAACTTTCTAGATGTGGACTGGAGATTTTATGGCGGTACAGGAGACAGAACTGTCTATTTCTTTGGCCTATATAAGTGACTTTTTTCTTACTTAAAAATTTTGTAATGATTTGTAAGTCATATGAGTCACATGAAGCTTTCTGTTTAGTGGGCAGACATCACACTGTAGACAAGAGGCAAAAGAATGCATTGCTGGTAAGAGATGCAGGATGTTCTGTGCCATTCCTACAAAGGAAGTCAATGTTCAGCACTGCTGTGCTGTCCAGTGACAGAAAACTCTTTATGGATGGGCTGAAAATGCCTCTCATAGTTGTGCCAAACCCAGTCTTGTGATTTGAAGCATCGCAGGTTGCATGTCTATTTCTGCTCCCAAACCTCTGTACCCAGTGAAAGGTGACCAGCTATGCCCCAGACAACATGTGAAGCTCAGAGAATTAACTCAACCGGCAGAGAAGGAGGCCTGAGTCCACAGGACCAGCTGCTGGAGGCTCAGCTGGAAAATGTGCTTCCTCTACCTGTAACTGTAATGCCAATGCCCTCCTGACTGTTTGCTTTCGAGCCTTTCTTTACCAGTGCTTCTCTCCAGGTAGGACATCCCCAGCATTTCATCCAGACGTTGTCAAGCAAATAATATCTGAAATAAAGCCTCGCAGGCTGGATTGTGAGTCGTGGTTTTGTAAGGATGTGGTTGGGCTGCAGAAGAGGAAGACAACTGCTAATGAAAGCTATTGCTGTGCCAGCATGTACCTGAAGAGAAATGCTGGGCCCAGCATGAATTAGGCATCTGGTTTTATTCCAGTGGTGTATGGCAGCTTCACACCCTTACCAAGAAGCCACCCTGACAGCAGCATCAGCCAAGGACAAGGTCAATCAGCCAAATATGGAGGGGAATTACATGTTTTAATATCTTCTCTGGCCAAGAATGTGCCTCGCAGTCACAAGGATAAGCCACAATGCTTGGGTAGTTTTGGATAACGCTCTTAAATATTGGGTTTAACTTTTAGGTTCCCCTATGTGGATACAGGACTCATTCTTGGTGATCCTCGTGGGTACCTTCCAGCTCAGGATATTCTGTGATGATTCTATGATTCGCAGGGCTGCTCAGTGCATGAGCCAGCTTACTGTGTTATATCACCCTTCCAACAGATGGAAGACAAAATATAAAGGTGTTGTACATCTGTTCTTACATATATATATATATATTTGTATATATTAAACTGGTGGGTGTAATGATCTGGACATATAGCCTGCTGTCACACTGTTAGAGTGAATGAAAGATTAGTAGTGAAATATGTGGGGGTAAACCTTAGCCATCTCACCTTGCCAATCGAAAAACAAACCAAAAACCCCCCAAAACAACTCTGGATAAACCATCCTGGGAATTATTTCTAATTCTTTTTTGACTGGTTGGGAAAAATAGGCCTTTTCCACTAGGATAAGGAAGGCTGCTGGCACCTATGGCACCTACTGGTACCATTAACACTTCCCAGGGGCAAGAGAAATCCATGTCTTCTTGCTAGGAGTGAAGTCACCTTGGGAGATAACCTCAAAGAGCCAGATGAGTGACACTCTCTCAGCATCTGGTACCTGCAAGTTGGCTTTCCAGGCTTGTGTGAGGAAACCTCGGTGCACTGCATGGCCTTTATGCAAAACAAAACACTTCTTGAAGTGGGCAGCTCCTCAAGGGCAGATGGCAGAGTGCCCCTGGGGACATGAGCCTGGCAGCAGAGCTCCAGCTCTAGGGGCTCCTGGCCATAGGGGAGGGATGTGGGTCCTTATCAGCTGTGGGGTGCCCCAGGGGTGGTGGAGCCTGCAGCAGTAAGCAGGCTGCACCATTTGTTACAGACCCTACAGGCCTAGGGCTCTGTGCATCGTCTGATAAATATTTTCTCTTTGAGGGTCTTCCCCCTGCCCAAACGTGGCTGCATGTGGAGAGGGCAATATGCATGAACCTGTATCAACAGATGCCCTACTTTGCTGGGACGTGCCGTGTTTGACAGAGTGGCCTGTGAGTTAGCGTGGGGCTGGAGAGCAAGCACTGCTGTTTGCTGTAAACAAACCTCAGCAAAGTGCCTGTAATTGCAGTGTTAGAAGGTTGGCCAGGCCTGGATGGTAGCTGGGGAGGAAAATAATGCTTTCTTTTATCTGTTCTTGCAAACAGCTGGAGACAGATAAAAGCGGAGACAGCTTTAACCTAAGCAAAGATTGTGACTGTGTGCTTTCCTTTGTTCTCAGTTCTTTCTGTTTTCGTCCCTCTTAGTTACGTTTTTATTTGCAAACAAGACTATGCATGGGACTGCTTCTGAATGCTTTTTCTTTCCCCCTCCCCTTCTTGTTTTTCTTTAACTTAAGGCGATAGCTGTTTCTCCTCAAACTCAACTCCTGTGGCTGCCTCCACTGCAGAGGACAATAGACTCTGTGCTCGAATCTGCCCACTTCCCACAACTTCCAGAGCTCTGACACAAAGATGAGTCTCTGCCACAGCTAACCATCCCTGGGGGAATGTTTTGCCACAGTGTGGTTGATATAACCTTCCTGAAGCGGTAATTTCCAGTAATTTTTCCAGTGCAATGGCATAGGATAGGAAAAAAAAGTAGCTGTTAAATTAAAAACAAGCAAGGAAAAACCTTCTGTCACTACGTCTGGAGAAAATTTTCAATATCTGGGATTCAGTGAGTAGCAATTTACACCAGTATCACTGGAATTACTTACCCAAGTAAGTTTCCCACACAGTGTTTTGCAACTGTAGGAACTGAACCACGCTGCATCCAGTTTGATGCCCTAGAGTGGTGTTTTGGTGCAGCAGGAGAAAGTTTCTTTGCTAGGCTTTTCAGTTGCTCCAATTCTGCCAGAAAGAATGACCCAATGATAAACTAGCTTCGTCAGGGTGACTGTTGCAGGCACATAGGCTCGTGTACATAAGGAGTTACTCCAGACCAGCTTTTCCAGATTAAATCTTCCATGGGTGTTATTGCAGCAGAAATAGCTGTTCTGTTGTAAAATCTGCATTAAAGCACTCTTTCCTTTCGCTAATTGCAGTCTTTAGTGGCTTTGTACATTTATCACATAGGGATAAAAATGTATTACCTCAGATTTATTTTCCCTGCAGTATGTATTTCCACATATCTCGCTGCCTTCCCTGAAAAACCAAAGACAGTTTGAAGCACATTACAAGCTGCATTGCCCACAGCTTCTCAGGTAGGCTTGGTGGCAAGCCAAGACGTTTTCACAATGACATTCCTGAAATTTCAACATCTGATAAATAGAGACATGACTATTTTCCTCCAGCTGTTCTCTTTGATATTTAATTATCCTAAGCCGGCCTGTGGAAACACAGGCATACAGGTACACACCAGTTTGAGGGAAACGAGAATTTCTAATGCAGTGTACCCCATGTGAGGAGTCAGAAGCCTTCTCTTTCAACTCAAATCTAATGTTGAAAGGTGCAGTCTGAATCCTTTCCGCTCTTTATTATGCTTTTACACACTGACTCCCTGTAATAGTCTGTTTCTGAGTAGTCACAGATTTAAAGAAAGCCACAGTGTTATGTCATTTGTTGGTGATGATGTTGTTCTTTGCTTAATAAGTGAAATGTCTTGATCTGTGGCACACAATAAATCAATTGAAAATCTTAAGAATTAAAGATATTGAACTTTTAAAAGACATTAAAGATTTTCTTCATCAGAAATGTCTTCTTAGTCAACAAAATTAGGAATTTGATTGTTTCTATGTGGTAGATCCACTTTCAAAGGATAGAGGTAGGCTTCAGGATTCTCTTTCCAATTCTTTCAAAATAAACCTGTTTCTGGTGTTTTATAAACTTGTATGAAGATGCATTTACGTGCATTTTGTATTTTACAGCCTAGAAACAGTCATATTTACATGATACATAAAACAAACAGCTTTGCTACAGAAAAAGTTAAATGATGTTGCTTTTTGCTGTCCTTTTAAAAAAGAAAAGAGGAGGTCATATCTCTAGCATGTGAAATAAAATAAATCCCCAAAAGACAAATGACCATCAGCTATGTATTCTTAAAACACATGATTCCTGCCTAAGGTTGTGCATATGTACAATTTAGTTATAATAAATAATAATAAAACCTGAAAGACTATGTAACCTTTACAGTTCTTCTCTATATTAAGGTTTTAAAGATATCTATTCTTAAAACCCTCTTTATCTCTTCGAATTTTTGATTGTTCATTCTACCCTGGCATTTTCTTACAGGATACAATATAATGACAAATGGTAGGGAAGACTTTTCAAGTTTAAATAAAATTAAACATATGGCTTATCAGGAATGAAATCAGCTTTATTTGTTAAAATACTTGTACTGTGTACAAAAGAAATTACTATAAGTTACAATACATTGAGGGAGGTGTTTGCTTCCACTGGAAGATCAGTATTTTGGAAATAGAAAATGGTTAGAATCAGACATTGACAGTAGTAATAATATAATATAATAATAAATACTTCACATTTATATAATCTGAATTTATAATATCCGAGCATTTCAGCATTAACTAATATATCTTAATATGTCTCCAGCTTGTAGGTAGAAGAGTCCTCTCATAGAAAAAGAAAAATGTGTGACCCGTGGTGAGGGTTACATCAACCCTAATATATTTCCCCTTGTCCAGTTTCACAACTGCCAGCAGCAGAACTCCAGAAGGATGGTGAGCAGGCAAGCGACTGCAAACACTGTTTGCTGTAATCTTAACCCATTAGAATACAGTCTGGTAATTTCCTCCTTTTCTGATTTCAGTTCTGAAAAAAAAAAAACAAAACAAAAAACAAAAAAACATAAGTGAACATAAGACGGTTAATAAATAATTGTGTAAATTTGAAAACAAAGACTTTCAACATACTTGAGAAGTCCTCTGACATCTCACAGGTACTTAAGTTAAAGGCATCAGCTGTTAAAGCCAATCAAAGGGACTATTCTCAGGGGAGAGATGTAAATAGATGTCCCATCAATGATCGTTTGAGGAGCAACTGATAGCACTTATCAGCTCTCGCAGGCATTAATCTCAGAATAATCAAAAGTAAATACCAAGCAAAAGCAAGAGGAAGAACTTCACAAGAGGTATGCACTCGAGCCTGAATGTCGGATTTTAACCCTTCCCTTAACAGGAGGTGACTTCACTTGCAGCACAAGCAGAAAGCCAGACCCTCATTTACGTGGAAGCCACTGAGCTGCCGCTCAAGAGGATTCTTCACTGACACCTTTTATTGTCTTTTTTAAGCTGAGTTCAAGAGCAGTAGGCCCATTATGTCTTTTGCTCCTGTAATGGGAAACAATAGGGCTGATTCAAAGGCGAACACCCAAACATTTAACTCTTTTGAAGAGTTTAATGAGCAAGCTCCATCCTACATATAATTGCTCAGGACAGAAATCTTCCAAGGAAAAAGTGGTTCTGTGGTGGGGTTTAATTTGGTGGTTTTTTTTTGTGTTGTTTTTTTTTTTTTTTTTTTTTTTGGTCTGGGTTTGCAAGGATGGGAATGTCACCCGGGATTTTGCAATCTGCATTTACATATGAACTCGGGAGTCACAGCTTCAAGTCACTGTTACTCGGGTAGGAATCTGGTCAGGAAATAAGAGGCTGCCAGTTCACCGGGGTGCAACTGAACCTTGAAACTCTTTAGATCTGTTGTTTTCTTACCCTGCTAACAACAGAGATATCGGCACAACTGAAGGAAAGCACAAGATGGGATTAAGACATATGGGAAAGGGCAAGAATATTTTATAATGATTTTGCCACTGAAGAGGAAATATTATTAAAGCCTTATTAGTCATCTCAAGTGTATTGAAAGTAGTCTGGATCAAAAGTAGCCAGTTCTCCATGCGAAATAACACCTGAAAAGCAAATCTTTCAAGTCTTTAGTCTAGCTGTTTCAAAAATATTCAACCATTCATTCAGGGATTTTCACAGGCTGATGAAGAAATACTTGACTTAAATATAGTGCATTTCAGGAGACTGGATGACACCACCATGCACTGATCAGGACATGGCTACATGTTTTTTCTGTGATGTGTGCTCTGTCTTAGAACTCTGTATATGAGCATTATGAAGACACAGATCTTAAAATAAGGTTTAGACTAGTTTTGTGTCACTTGTGTTATGGTTGGTCTTTCTATGTTTGAAGTAGTTTATGTGAGAACATGAAAGTTTTCAGTACTTGTATCTCTAATATAATACGATTTTTACTTACATCACACCTGTTTACACTACTGTTTTTTATTTTTTTTTTCTATTTCTTTATCTAAGAAACATATTTTGTATGCTTGGACGTATTTTAGTTGTACTGGTTAAATGAGAAGTCGTAGATGTGCAGATTCCGCAGAGCAGATAAACATTTAATCTCTGTAATTTTCAATTAGAACGGTGGGAAGTTTCCTACTGCACAGAATTATAAAGATGTGGAGGTATTTAACGGGATGCACTGAGCAGGCAACAGCAGTGTTATTCGCTGTTTCACTGGTGCATTCTCTGAAGCAAAACATCCCACTGCAGAGGCCCTGAACAGAGCACACACAGCATCCTCCGAGTGCCCCACGGCTGCAGAAGGCAGTTCTGTCACCCACAGGATAAAAAATATGTTTGATTTGATGCCATTTCTTACCGCAGTTGTCTTGCATTATTTGAGAGAGACAGTTCAGAGTGCCATAGCCACACCGACACAGCCAGCAGCCCTTCAGCACCCAGGCGCCGTGGGCGATGCTGCCGCAGTTGCTGCCAAAGACAAGGGAGACATTCGGTACATCCCTGATCCCACCGCAGAAAATAACCATCCTGACTTTGGTCTGCTTTCTTATTACCTTTGCCGCTCATCGTGTTCGCAGTACCTGCCCGTGAAATGCTTCAGGCAGGCACAGAAAGTCCCTAAGATGCAGGTCCCTCCGTTCTGGCAGCAGTGTCTGCTCAGCTTTTTGCCTGCAAGACAATATTACAGATGTTAACAAGCATCTCGGGGGGGTTCCGAACCTCACATTTCCCTCACTTGTTCCCTGGGGCCTCTGCAGTTGCCAAAGTATCTTAAGGATATCTAGTTTTATTGTTTTTAGAGACAATAAAATTATATGCCTGTTAGGAGTTGTTTGTTCAGCTAAACCCACTTTGTTTAGTTAAGGATTAGAAACAAACTACTAGGGATTACAGGATGGTGAGGAAGCAACGCCTGGCAATCCTGTAGCAGCAGCGTGTACTCAAGTGAAATATTTCACTTTGACAGACAGAGGTTTCAATCACACTAAGAAATGAGGCAGTTACTGGAAAGTGATGTTTATTTTTGAATAACGGATATTTTATTACTGGGAAGAGTTACTTGGTTTTGAGAGGAGAGAGGAATGCTCCCCTGAGCCTTTCTCAGATTCCTGGGATTGAGCAACAATGTAAAACATATTTATATCTGTGGGAGAAAACCGACTAATTTCTTTTTTTTTTTTTTTTTTTCTGTTAGTTACCGTTGCTTTCAGATAGTTGCTTTCAAACTTTTTCCTTTTTTAAGGTAATTTTTTTATTGTCATGAATTATGGTTAACTTGAAAAAACGAACAGAATGTTATGAAATATCAAAGAGGCTTTTGTAAATGCAAGGGACCAAATCCTTCCTGATTCCTCGTATCACTCCCTTTTCATTAGCACGCTTTGCAAGTGAGAAATCCCCAGTTCTACTTTAAATAGTTATCACATTTCCTGAGCGGCCACGGAAAACCAACAGGCTGGAATCTTCTAGGACAGCAGTTTTACAGAAAGCAATTTTGCTGATCGTTTACATAAATAATGTTACCTACTCTCTGTAATTCCAGTGAAAGGCACCAAAGACCTGGAGCTCTGTTGCTTCCTGCTTTCATAACTCTGATTCATGTCACTGAGTCCATTTATAAAGGTCCCTTCATTCTTGGGCTGCTGCTTTGGTGCTGTGGCGTTGAGACTTTTCACATCATCTTCGCGTTCTTCTTTTCCACGGCCTTGACAAGAAGTGCGAATATGGAAGGGAATAGTAGCTTTTAATGAAGAAATGTTCACCCTGAATGTACCAGGGAAACACGACGGGGCGGCGAGAAACACGCAGCTTTCCTTACCTTTTCCTAGATGAACAGCCTGCCAGACCAGCGTCACAGTGAAAAGAATTCTAAAAAAAAAAAAACCCACATGAACTGAAATAAATTTGTGCCAGTAAGACAAACCCTAAAACTAGGGTGGGTGCGTGAACTTTTTCTAAAGATTAAAAAGGAAAGCATCCCTGGCTAGAGCAGGTCCCCCGGGCAGCTCAGGGGAACTTACCTGACGTGGTTTTCACAGTACATTTTCCTGCAGCCTGGAATAGCCGGGAGGACCTTCAGGAAAGCTCCAGCCGAGGGAAAGTGTCTGGAGCCCCTCTCTGCTGCATGCGGCAGCGCTCGCACCCTGCCTGGAGACAGGAGATGGGGAGAACTCTTCTCTGGCTGCCCAGCTCCTACCAGGGTCCCAAAGGCACAGCCGGCAGCTTGCTGAGCCCTCACCGAGCCCTGGAGGGCAGGGACCATCCCGGCCAGCCCCTGGAGGGTGGAGCAAAGTGGGGGCACATACAGCTGGGGGGAGAGTCTAAGGGCCCGTGAGCGCTCACAGCCAACAGCCCAAGGCAGCAAGAACTCAGCTCCAGCCTGTTCCTTAACTAAAGGACTTAAATAAAGGACTTGGAACCACCCCACACTGCATGGGGAAAAAAAAAAAAAAAAAAAAAAAACAACCCTACAGAAACCCCCAACCTAAACAGGAAAACCACTGTTCTGCAAAACTGCAGTAGGTATATAAGAAACTGAGGGAGATATATATATAATGAGGGTTAAAAAGCCTCAGCTCTACCTACAAGCCTTTTTCTTCGCCAGGGTTTTCCACCGGGGGCCTGCTTTATGAGGCTGTACGTACCAGTCTGCAGCACAGATCCTTAGAGCCTGGTGCTGCAGAAAGCAACGTAAGGTTCTCGACAGAAGTTTGCTCTCTCACATGAGCTGTTAATAACCTTCTGAGACATCCTTTGAAACTTTTTTACTGTTAGTGAAATTGGACCCGTGAGTGAGCATTCCTAGTCTGAGTTCATGCAGCATCAGCAGGTACATCTGTATATGATGTAATTTATCTTGTGTACTGAAACAGGCTGGGACCACTCACTTGACTTCACTATCACTCAGTAGCATCAAAAAAAGAGACCTGCCTCTGGGCAGTGCTAAAAAAAGCAGCTCTGGGCAGTTTTTTCTCAGATGACCTGTACCCCAAAGTGCACATGGCCTTCACTTAAGCTGTGGCTGTGAACTGCACCAATACAGCTTGTTTTTGTTTTTTTTTTTTTTTTTTTTTTTTTTTTTAGTGTGTGTGGGGGGAGGGCATGTGAAGGAGGGATGCTATCACTGTGCCAGTGCAAAGGAAGCTGGTACAAGTAACGTTCTTGCTAGATACATGAACACATCAGACATACGGATCAGACCTTCACTGAAGAAATGGCTGCACTGACCAAAGACATTATCATCTCCTGTTTTGCGACTCCCTGTGGCTGTCATTTGTCAGATCTGCCACGTCTTAACTGTGATCATTTCTCATCTAGTATGGTACAAAGGCCGGCTTAATTTACAAAGAGAGCTGTCCTAATTAAAGTCAACCCTCCCTGGCACTGGAGCAGATGGAGAGTGTTTTGAGAACACACAAACGTGCAGCATGGGCAACGAGCAAGAGAAGCTGGAAACCGTGGTGCAATTAGAAACCTATGACCTAACTGCTATCATGGACACATGGTGGGATACACAACTGGAGCACTGCAACCAAGAGCTATAAGCTTTCCAGAAGAGAGAGGCTGGGAAGAAGGGGTGGAGGCATTCTCTGCGTGAAGGAACAGATGGATTGCAAGGACCCATCCTGACGGACTGGCATGGATGGCTCCTGGGAGAGCAGTATAGCCAAGCAGCAGGCAATCCACGAGCTCCCTGGACTGCATCTGGGACCACTCCCTGGTCCAGGTACTGGGCAAACCATCCAGAAGACAAATGTTACTGGATCTGGTGCTCACCAGTGTGGATGAGCCCATTAGGAGGGTTAAGGTTGGAGCAGCCTGGGTTGTACTGACTGGACCCTGACTGAGTTCATGATCTCAAGGAACAGGGGCCTGGCAAAGGGCAAAGTCAGGAACCTGAACTCTGAAAAGGTGAATTCCAACTGTTGAAAGAATTACTGGATGAGATTCCCCGGGAAAGTGGGAGCAAAGGAGCTGACCAGAGGTGGCATCTGCTTAAGGCCACTTTTCTTAGCAACACAGCCTGGAAACCGGCATGGCTAAGCAAAGATTTGCTCCTGAAACTGAGGAGTGAGAAGGAAATTCACAGCTGGTAGCAGAGAGTACAGGGTGTGTAGGGCTGGACTCAGAAAAGGCCCTTTGAAAGCGAAGAGAAACAAATAGGGATTCTGCAAGTACATACGTCGAAAAAGAAAGGCCAGAGAGAGTGTACCCCACCTCTGATAAATGAGAAGGGAAAACTGTTGACAGTGGATATAGGGAGGGCTGAGGCACTCAACAAATTCTGCATGGTTACATCAGAATTAGGGGATAGGACATTCCCAGTGCTGGTAGAACTATTGACTCCAACTGGTCTAAGCTCGGCCTTTTTCTTGGCATCTTGTTTTCATGCTGTACTTTATGTTTGCCTCTAATTTAAACTCATTTAGACGAAGCCATTCTTGTCCCAGACTTGTACCATGTGTTTTAGGACTGAGTGTCTCTGTGGTGTAAATTTGTGTGCAGTTCAGCCAAATCAGCACTAGAAGAACTTTCATGCTAACGCTTGTGGCTGAGATATTTAATAGAAATATGCCATAAAAATCACGACATGTTAGTTCATGGAGGGATTTTGGTTTTCCTATCTTAAATAGGAACAATGTAGAAGAGACAGATTACTCCCACCATTATGCTGACTGACTCCACCGGCTGTGATTGACAAGGGCTTCTAAACTAAATGTGTTAGGGTTTAGGTGCTTGCTTGAAACCTATCACATGTTTTAAAGTACTGCCCTAACAACAGATGCTGTTCTGAATTAGGACTGAAAAATGTTTCACACAAACAAAAGAGATGTCGTTTTTGAGTGTATTGACAAAACATGTGTGGGTTATCAGCATATGAAAAATGCTTACTTTTGGAAAATGCTTGCAATCCAAATAACTATTGTTTTCATTTTTGTTCTCTAACTACAATGGGGCTAGTATTTGGAGTTTAAAAAGAACAGCTGTAGTTACAATTGTTCTATTTTTTTTTTTTTGATAGTATATTGGGAACAAAATATTAATTTTCAGTCTGGTCTAACTGGTAGTATCACTTTAAGTTACAGTATTCAAATGCTGAAATGCTGTCATTTAGTGTTTAGCATGTTGCTTTTCCCCTTTCCATAAATCAAAGGCAGAAAGAAATTAAACTAAGATAAGTAAACACAGGAACATCACACTTAATGTTGCCTTTTTTTTTTACTAAATGCAGTGTGACTGTAGTTCTCCTGGAGATCTTCTCCGGGGTATCAAATTCCCAGCCCTATACTGGAGGTAATTTTCAAAACGAGGATACTGGCAAAGAAACACTGATCAATTTTCACACCCTGTGCCATTTGTTTAAGATCAGAAGCCATCCTGTATAACTGCAAGACCTAACAACCTGGGGAACCGTAGAGCAGTTGGTAAACATTTCTCGCTTTTTATACCTCGTTTCTTCCTTCTCCCTGTAGCCTCACCATCAAGGCAGGCATGGGAATGGGAGCAGAGTAAATTGCTCAGATGCTGCTGATGCCTGGCTGCGCTATAGAGGTGAGATTGGTGTGACACTGCGGAAAAGTGCTGTTGTTTGTTGTTGACAGAATCTGCCAGAAAGTGATTGCTTCTGCCCAGGGATTTGTGAGGAGCTGCAGGAAGGGTAGAAGCACTCCCTTTTATCAGCTCCGGGTAAGATAAGAGTGGAGCCAACAAAAGTGCTGGTCCCCAGCATTTCAATCAAGCCCCGTGTGCACAGGAGATGGCTAACCATTAATTAGGGGTCCTCAGTGCTGTGAGTTCTGACGGCAGATCAAGCAGCCTGTGTGGGTTAAGTGTGGTAGGAAAATGTGGTGCTGTTTTACTCGTTCTCATAATTCCTCTTATGCTCACCCAGGGAACTGTAAGTCTGTGGAAACCCTCCCAACTTCCGAGTAAACCACTACACTCAGGGACGAAGTGAGGATCAACAGATGCCTAAGGACTGGAGGTGGCACTGGAGAAATCAGAAGCAAGGGTGAAGAAAATGTGAATGCCTTTAGCCTTCTGGGAACTGCTCTGAAAGCCTCTTCTGGGTTAGCTCAGCTGTGGCCAGTGCAGCCGAAATATCTGCTGACTAGAAGGCCTTAGGTTCCAAAATTCCACCTTAGGGTTAGGACCAGATCTCTAGCCATGCTGAGGCAGTGTTAAATCAGTTGTGCAGAACATTACAGAAAGCAATGAAAAGCAATGAACTTTATTGAAATATTGGAAATATAGAATTCTACGAAAAAACCCTCTCAGTCAGGGTGACCTGGAGCTTTCTGAGGAAAGGGCAGACCCTAGGCAATCTAGAGTGGGACCTCTCAGAGTATGCTTAACTCATAAACTGTTAAGAATACTTGATGGAAACACCTAATACTAGCCAGCCAGAGATTTTTATTTGTTTGTTTTTTTTTTTTTTTTTTATTTTTTTGGTGGTCTACAGCTTGCTGTTAGGACTTGTGACACAGGAAGTCACAAGCCTTGTGACTTGCTTTCTGAAGGCTATGTAGAACTTCAGTTGGGTGGAATGGTTTTTTATGGTGTCACAGAACTTTCTCAACAGACACTGGTCAATCCAGCTCTTGTCACTGTCAGTAATTTCCTGTAGGACCATGTGGAGGTTGCTGCTGTTGCCTCTCCCATTTCCATACGTGCATGAGCAGTATGAATGAACAAGATAAATAACCCAGACAGCTTTTCTTCGCTCCAGGTTAAGGGTGGCTTACGCTGGTTTATTTGGAATCAGCCACAAACTGACTTGAGGAAGTGATATACGGGAAAATGAGAGAATCCAGATAGTGACTGCCACCATTTTAACTAATGCCACAGCTCCATGATCAGCTTAAGCAGGATAGATGGCTGCTGCTGTCTTGCACCATGGGTTATCTGTTTGTGTTGTCTCCCTCACACTGACATTCCTGCTTGTGCAGCCATGAATGAGCTGGAGCAGGGAGTTTATCTGAATGAAAACTCAGCTTGGGGAAAAAAAAAAAAATTACTTTTCAGCTGAATTAGTTCCCTGATGTGGTT